TTAGATTTCTTAGTTTCATCTCAACAAATCGATTAAGGTATGTTTTCTTTATTCATTTTTGATGTGTTAATGTCTATTTGAAATGCGTTTTTGATCGCCTGAGTGCTTGTTTAAAATGCTTAATTAAAATGTTTGTACTAATTTAGTATTTTATTATTTGTTTTTTAATACTTCTTAACACTGTATATTTTTCAATATATTTTCTTTGATAAGTGTGTGAATTTTATTGTAAAAATATAAACTTTAAAACATTTACGTAGAAAAAAAAAATTGTGAAATCAACCACTATATGTGATTAAATTGACTGAGAGATTCTCACAAGCATAATAACAAACCCCTTCAGTGCATAATCAGAGAGACAGAGAAACAGTAAAACACACATTCAAATTATACAAGCATAACTTAAGGACATTAAAAAAATAATTAATGTCATTGTTGTGGTGAGGCCAACTTTTCATCTCATTGTCAATTGCTTTGACAAGTTCAAGTTGGTATATACAAATCTAAAAAACAATCCAAGTTGATATATGGCGCTGTTTGGGAAGATTAATTTGAGGCTATTATAGCCTCAAATTGAAAATAAGCCAAAAAGCTCATTGTTCACCTATTTTTATTACAAAAAAGAAAAGAAAAGAAAAGCTAAAGGACAAGGCAGCAGCCTACGGACAGCTATCCCACAGTGTAGTTACTGTGCCTACGGACAGCTATCCCACTGCTGTTAAATTACAATTTTGCCCCTTTAGTTAATTTTTGAAAAATAAAAAGTTAGGGACAAATTTGTCATTTTAACTTTAAACACCATTTCAACATATTTTCCAATACAACAACTTAAATAAAAATTCATCTCATCTTCCCAAACACAAAAACTAAAATAGCCTACTGAAATAGCCAAATAGCCAAAAAGCCTAAAAAATAGCCACTTCCCAAACAAAGCCATAATGAGTGTTTGAAGAGTTGTTATTTTAATAGGTTATTTTAGTTTTTAATTATTTTAGTAACTTAAATTTTTATGTTTGGAAAAATAATTAGATAAAAATTAAAAATTTTGATATATATTAAATTATAAGATAGTAACTAATTATCATATATAATGATTTTATATAATATATATTAAATTATAAGATATATAATAAACACTCATTTTGATATTAAAAATAATAGTTAAATTATAAATAGAATTAGTAATATAAAACTAAAAGTGATTCTAAATATTTATTTTTACATTTATTTGGATAATAAAAATATTTAAAAATAGAACTACACAAAATTTATTTAAAAGATTAAATATAAATATGTTGTAATTGGATTAAGAAAAAATACATAAATTAATTATATAGAGTATTGATTTTTTCTTTAATATTCTTTTTGAATTATTCATACATATTGTATATAGGTATATAAAATTAAAATTAAATTATATATATCATAGTAATTATATTATTATGAATTTAGGTAAAGATTTAGAAAGTAAAAAAGAAAAGGGTAATAGGTCCTAATAATTAGATTTAATTCCCATTATTATTATTATTTTTTGTGACAATTATTTTCATGTTATTAAAAATTGACAATTAGTGACATTTTTTGTCATGATTTTTATAAATTGTCGCTAAAACTTACAATTAGTGACATTTTCTTCGATATTTTTTTTTTCAAATTTCGTAATAATTAAATTAAAATATCAATTATATAAAGAAATCTGACAACGACAAAACTGAATACACAATGAAAAATATATGGAATATAAGTATTTCTCAAATAAAATTCATATAAAGTTAGTTATTATAATTGAAATTGAGATGGTGTAAAACTTTATATGTAAATAGAAAAGACATGTTGATGTGGCTATTTTATAAACTATTTGGTCATTCCTTTTTTTTCTTTTCTTATAGACCCTAAGGTCCCATTCTAACGCGAATTATATAAAGAACCAAGTATAAATGTGTGTGTGTTATGTGTTAAGAGATTAAATGTGAGTTTTCTTATAATGTTAAAATTACTAAATGTAACATTTCAAAAAAATCTCTTAGTGTATTTTCTCAAATATAACACTCCAATGTAATTCTCAAAAAACATAACACTCAAATGTAATACATTAAAAAAATTTTTAATGTATTTTTTTCCAACGTAACAACGTAACATTCTAAAAAAAAATCATTAGTATACTTTTATTAAGCATAACACTCCAATTAATATAACATACAAAAACTACTTAGTATATTTTTCTCAAACGTAACACTTAAATGTAACATACTAAGAAATTTCTTAGTGTACTTTTCTCAAATGTAAATTTAACATTTCAAAAAAATTTCTTGATGTATTTTTTTCAAACATAGCACTCTAATATAACATACTAATAAACTCCTTAGTGTTTTTTTTCAAATGTAACAACGAATTATTTTAAAATAGTTTTGCCTTCGTTTGGGAAGCCCAAACTTGGGCTTTTTTTTGGCTATTTTAGCCACAAAAAATAAAATAGGCTTTTTAGCCCAATAAGACAAAACATCACATCCAACCCATAATCATTACATTTTTTCTCTCACAAAAAAATCAAAAAAATCAAAAGCTTTTTACAAACCAGACTTTTTAGCCTCAGGCTAAAATAGCCAAAAAAACTAAAAAGTCAAAAAGCTAACTCACTTTCCAAACAAAGACAAAATAGACTACTTTAGCCAAATAGGACAAAATGTCACATCCAACTCATAATTATTTCATTTTTTCTTTCACAAAATTCAAAATAGCCAATCTCAAACAAGACTTTTAGTCCTAGGCTAAAATAGCTAAAAAGTCAAAAAGCCAACCCACATCCCAAACGAACACTAAAAAAACCCATTAGGGTTTGTTTGGAATGTGGGTTGACTTTTTGGCCTGGGACTAAAAAGTCTCGTATAGGATTGACTTTTTGGCTTTTTTGACTTTTATGAGAGAAAAAATAAAATTATTATGGTTTAGATGTGACATTTTGTCTTATTAGACTAAAAAATTTATTTTGTCTTTTTATGACTATTCTAGCCAAAAAATCCCATTTTAACTTATGCCAAATGAAGGATTAATTATTGATATTGCATTTTGTCTAACTTTTTAAGATAATAACACCACATGTGATCACCTAATCTCAAAAAATAGAATTTTAACTTTAAAATTCATTAATATATGTATAATATTAAAATATATTAGTATAAATTTTAGGGCTGGTTTGACAAGTGTAAAAAAAAATTAAAAAGTCACAAAATTACCAAAAAAGTTAAAAAGTTATCATTATTCACTAAAAAAAATATAAAAAAAATTAATATACAAATATTAAATACAAATCAACTTTTTGGCTCATCAATTACTGACGTCAGGCCAGCTTCAGTGAAAGGGGGAAATTTTTTTTTTTTTATGTGTACATTCACTAAGTTGGATGGTAAAATTGCGCCCATGGGGGCCCACCATGGGTCTCGTTTTAATAATCCGAATCGTTCAAGATGTAGAACTCGTCTAGTACTATATGCCTGTAAAAAATCACGTCTATCAGATATCGCTAACTACATGATCAAATCAGTTTTGAATAAAAATTGGATGGTGTTATAGTTAACAGTTGACAAAAAAAAATTATCATGATTAGATAGCTATCGATATCCAATCAACGTGTTTTTTTTACAAGCATATAGTACACAACGAGTTCTACACATTAAACGGTTCCGATTAGAAAAACGGGACGCGTGGTAGGCCCCTACGAGCCGAACACCGTCCAATCAAAGCCTGAAAAGGAGACAATCTTTTCCCATGTATTCACCAAGCTGACTGACTGCCAATCCATACCGCATCCTACACTCTCTTCTCCTACACACTTCTTTATACAATTTTTTAATACACATTTTTTTCATAAAAAGTCAAAAAGTTAACCCAAACATTTATATTTTTTTCTTCAACTTTTTAGTTAAAAAAGACAAAAAGTACACTTATTTAGGACACCCCAAACAACCCCTAGGCTGTTTGAAGTACATTTGGTAGTAAAATGAACAAAAATTTCTTTGGAAACAATGCATTATTACACGTTATTAAAATTAGAAAATTTTAATTTTAAAATACTAAAGTCATGATAGAATTCATTGTTAAAATTTGCGTTGGCACCTTAATTTTTATCAATTCTAATAATAATAATAATAATAATAATAATAATAATAATAATAATAATAATAAGACTAAAACTAATAATAATAAAATAAGTAAATAATAAATCAATAAAAGAATAGGAAACAACAATAAAAGAATAAATAAAATATACAAAGCAAACCAAGTAAAACAAAAACAAAGAAAACAAAAATAATAAAAACAAAATCAAGCAAAGAGATTTGACCTCTTTTGGGCAGAATATAAAGCCAAAAGTGACCTTTAACCTATTCACTACAAGAAATTTCATTTTTTGTGATTAAAATTTTAGTAGCCAAAAGCCTTATTTTAGTCGCCAATCACTTTTGTCGACTAATATATTTAGTCGCCCATTTGGTTGCCAATACTTTGTTGGGAAAACAATCGGTGACTAAAATGTTTTTGGTAGTCGAAAGTAACCTATTGGCTTTTAGTCGCCATATATTTTTTAAAAATAATTAAATATATATATTTTTACTTTTAATGACTAAATTATTTATTAGCGAATTGAGCATATATGTTTGACGACAAACTATTTGGTAGTCAAAAGTTTTACTTTTTGAGAATTGGGGACTAAAAATTTAGTAGCAAAAAGTTTCATTTTTACAATTGGAGACTAAATGTTTAGTAGCCAAAAGTTTCACTTTTATACAATTTGCAACTAAAGTTTTAGTAGCCAAAAGCCAACTTGTGATATTTGTTTAGTCGTCAAAAGGTCTCATTTAGTTTTTATAATTTGTTTTGTAATATTTTTTGCGCCACCTGTAATCTGTGCATATATAAAATTATTTATTCATTCATTCATTCAATCCTCAACCATTCAATACAAATATTTCTCCACAACCTGTAGCATTCAATTTCCAACCATATACAAAACTTAACTATTAATCGTACATATCAAAGAAAATAAGAATCCATAAACATAGTATAATCTAACAAATACATATACTATCCAAACCAACAATTAAAATCAAAATTAAATAAAATCTTAATAACAAAACATATAAGGTGTACATGTTTTCTATAAACAAAAATATAATGTAAATTGCGCCCATGCAAACATCATCAATCTATCCCATCACTGTATCCATGCCAACATCATCAATCTGTAACAAAAACATAATATCCATTAATATTTTATTGAATAACATTCGCATTTACAATTTTTTTAAAAAAAATACATACAACTTGAAATTTATTATATTTTTATGTTTTACGCTCGAAGAAACTACTTGTGCCGTCCCATGAGTGGTTTAGAGGTTGTTGTGAGTTTTCACCCCTCAAATGAGCCTTTTATGTTTTCAGCGTTTTTGGCTCTAACTTCGACCCTAAGTGTCCTAATCACGTGTCTTTTGTTTATACAAATTCAATTATGTAGTAGGAAGCTATCCATGCTATCCTTCGAGTGGTTCGGAGGCTGTAATTAAAATTCAAATGTAATTAATCTTTTCCAATGAATTATTGGCTCAATTCAAATGTATAACCTTAAGGTTCCTACCTAAGGTTGTACATACAAATCATGAAATTGTCAACCTATGCTATTCCTAGCATTTAAACCATGAACATAAAAACTTAGAAAAACTGGTCTTACTCTGTCACCAAATCCTTAAGTCCTTTATAGACAATATTTTGAGGCTTATTCACAACATCTATCACAACCTGAAAAGAAAAGCAATAAATGCAAAGAAATCAAAGAAATAGGACTCAAAAGCGAGAGAATAAAGGTCACTTATATGTTTCCTTTTCCTATTTCCCGTGTACTCAAGCTCACTGTACTAATTTAATCTAAGGTGGAATTCAACAAAAACTGTAAACACAAATAAAACCTCAAGTTATGATTTTCCAGTCTCAATTCATTAGCTAATTTCTAAGATGCGGACAAGCACCCAACAAAGAATCTATCTCACTTCAAGCCTTCAAAAACCTTGCGGCAACCTTCCTAAACATATACACGGTATACTTATTTTTCAGCTCTGCTGAACTTGTGAATTTCTTGGAATGTTTTGAAACTTCCACCAGCAAACAATAAGCAAACTTTGAATTATTGAGACTATTAATTTGATGGTTTATAAATTTGTCATGTACCCACTTGGATTCAAGTCTGCCAAGTTTTGCTGAACCAAATTAAGGTTTGTTAATCATGATTAAGTTAAAGAGCACATACCGATGTAGTCAGGGCAATAAAGCCCTCCACAAATCTTATTTCAATGATCTAAATCATTTATTTATAAAAAAATTACATTGACATGATTGCATTATATTTGTTTAAAAAAAAAAAAAATGAAAAGTCTATTTCCAAACTCATATATTGTTTATTTTTTAAAAATGAATATGTGAAATATATAACTACAAATAGAGAGACATATTAAATGAACAATTTAAATAATTGAACAAAGAGCCTACAAATTCCAAACAAGTTGCATTTTATAAATAATTTTTGAAAATATCTGTTTTTTTTGGATAACTCTTTGGGAGAGCTGTGAGCCAAACAAGAAACCAAACCCTCATGAAAACCCAAATTTGCAAAACCAAAACATAAAGAATAGGATAACACGGAGAGAGAATGCACGAAGTCATAGCCTTGATCTCATGGGATTAACAAAACAAAACATAAAGAATAAAAATAAACAAATAAGTAAATAGTGAACTTGTTCCAATTTCGTTTCAACATTTTATCAAACACATGGTAAGCAAGAGGGTAAAAAATAACAACAATAAAAAGCATAGACCAAACAACAACAACAAATAAACTACCAACAACAACAATAGCAACATCATCACATACAAACTAATTGATTAAAAGAAAATTAGAATTGAATGGAAGTACGATTAAGAATCATTATGTAGGACAATAGAAGAATGAATTGGATTTAATAGGGTGTGCACCAATGGTTGAGAGAGAGAGGGAGGAAGGGGAAGAAGAAGGGAAAATACCAAGGTGTGCTCCAATGGTTGTTGCGAGCAAGAAATAAAGAGAAAAAATGCTACTCTTGCAAGAAATAGATAAAAGAGAAGCTCCAACCCTCTGATTTATAACCAAAAAAAAAAAAAAAGAATCCTTTGTTATAAAACCTTTGAAATTGAGTGAAGATATTGTTATACCCAGCAACGTATGTGTAAATTAAATGTATAAATTAAATAAACAACAAAAATAAAATAATTCAAAAAATAATTATATAAATTAAATTCTGAATTAAATGCTTACAGAAATTAAAGTCGAGGCTTGTGTTGGACACAATCTTCTTAAAGTAGATTTCAACCTTGCTCCGGTGTTTCGAGTTTTACTGATGTCTACTTCCAGGATGCAACGACTAACATTTGAATTTTGCAGCACTACAAAAACCAAGCCTTGTGAACCAAAATATGTGGAAACTTTTTCTCTTTCTTTTCTTAAAAATAAATGCAAAAACAGATGCAGGAGCAACAAGAGGACGAACAGAAGGAGAAAGGGAAGAGATTTGGAAATTTTCCTATCTAAATGAATTGCTGGAAGTAGTCTATTTATAGGAGGAATGAAGGCTGTTCCGAATAGGTGCCAACAGCTAGGCAACTGTTCGGACAGATAGAAAATCTATTTGGTTTGTTTTGAACTTTTTGAACTTGTTCGAGTGGAATCCAACAGATAGAAAACTGTCTGGGACCTGTTTGGGTGAGGAAAAACTTGGACCAATTTATTTTGAATTTTGAAACCAAATTTAAAAATAAATAAATAATTTATAAAGGTTTTTGGCCCATAAAATAAGTATTGGGCCTGACAAGCCCAACCTAACCTCACATTACGCACCCACACCCAAGCTTAGCGCCAACCCTAGCTCAGCCTGCCCGACCGACTGGACGGACGGCGGCGGCGGCGCACATGTGTGGTTTTTGTTTTGGGTCTAATGGGTCTAGCCCACTTCATCCATAACTTCACCATTCCACAAACTTGGATACCCCTTAGGTCCCATCCCAAGTATCCCAAGCTTAGGTATATAAACCCAAATAAATCCTTAAGCTTTTCCAATGTGAGATAAGCACATTTCGCAAATGTGTAGGAAACCCACCTAAATTCATTTCCACAAACCCAAAAATGCGTATTGAATTCTCATTCATCCGGAAATGGTTTTGAGCAACCAAATACACGGTTTTATTCATTACGCGACATTAAACACGAACCCAATTAGAAACGTTAAAAATAACGCTTGGGTCCCATCTTAATTAATGCTCAAAGTTAGCAAAAAAAAAGATTTTTCAAAAGCTTCCAAAGCCATTTTCCAACAATCCCCCACATGAATGGAATTTACGATAACGGACATGCAGCAAGATGCAGATGAAGAAAGAGTATATTAAGAAGATACACCACATCAAGATAGGTAGCTTTTGGCTTTGAACCTCCTCTAATGAAAGCCTATCGGACTTACTAGCTAACCAGTGGACGCGATGTCTTGAACTGTTCAACTGTTTGTGTAAGCCAAGACAATAGACTACACATAGTGTATTCGTAGACATAGTTTGGTTCTTACAGTTGTGTTTATTTTGGCCTTGGACAACGCCTGGTAATTCATGAGTGCTCTAGAAAATTTAGCTTTCTGAATTTTCACAAAACCGGCCTAGTTCACACTCATATAGGTGATTTTTTTATTAAGAGTATCCTATTATATCCCACTTGGATGTCCAAGCTATAAGAATCATTAAAAACAAAGTTTATCCTACTAACACTGCAGGTATCACTCTTCTTATCATAGAAATAGGTAGGAGTAAACCTCCTTAGTGATACGTGAAGTCATCTATAATTCGGTTGTCCTTTTGAACCTAGATCTTGGGATCTCCAGTCAACTAGGTTGGGTTGTCATTATGGCGACTTTGAAGTAATAGGCTTTAATCCCATACCCCTCGACAAAATAGTACACTTGCTTTTTGGCTAGCCATTTAGTCAATGGATCCGCAATATTCTCCTTTGACTTAACATATTTTATGAAAATTATTCCATGTGAGAGCAAATGCCTAATGGTATTATGTCTTCGACGAATGTGTCAGGACTTACCATTATACATATGATTAGGTGCCCGTCCTATTGCTGTTTCACTATCACGGTGAATGCATATAGCTGGCACAGGTTTAGGCCACATTAGAATGTTTTCTAAGATATTAAGAAGCCATTTTGCTTTTTCTCATGTTTTATCTAATGCGATAAACTCAAATTCCATTGTTGACCTAGCTATGCATGTCTGCTTAGAAGATTTCCAAAAGACTGCAACACCTTCTAGGGTAAACACGTATCCACTAGTGGATTTTGAGTCTTTAGTATCTGATATCCAATTTGCATCACTGTACCCCTCGAGTATTGCTAGATATTTGATATAATGAAGGCCATAATTCTGGGTATGTCTTAGATATCTAAGTACCCTAATTATCGCTTTCCAATGATCGGACCCTAGATTACTTGTGTACCTACTCAATTTGCTTACATCATAGGCTATATTTGGCCTAGTGCAATTCATTAAGTACATCAAGCTTCTGATTATCCGAGAGTACTCTAATTGTGATATGCCTGCACCTATATTTTTTGACAAATGAAGACTAATGTCAACAGGTGTTTTAGCAAGACGATCGCCATGCTTTCCAAATGTCTCCAGAATCTTCTCAATATAGTGAGACTGAGATAAAGCATATCCTTAAGATGTTCTAGTAATTTTTATTCCTATAATTACATCTGCTACTCCCAGATTTTTCATGTCAAACTTTTTGTTCAACATTTTCTTTGTGGACTTAATCATGTCATTATTGCTTCCAATAATGAGCGTGTCATCCACATAAAGACGAATTATGACATAGCCTTTGTAACAACCCATATTTTTAATTATTCTATAAAATTTATACTAATATTATTTAATCACAATTAAGAAAATATACAATTTATTTTGTGTTATTATGTGTAATTTTGTAAAATAATATAATTACTATGAGTTTAGGGATCAAAGTATAAATAAATAATAATAATAATGAGTGTGGTAGTAAAATAAATAATTAATTTACTGTTGGTATATGATAGAGTGTAATTTAATTAGAAACTAATTATTTATATAATTATATTAAAATACTGGTTTAAAGTGTAATTATCTTAAATATCTATCAAGGAAAAATATAAATCTATATAATTATGAATCAAATCTGAGAAAGATTCGAGCCACGTATGCGCCTTATCTCCCTATAAATAGGGAGGAGTTGATCTGGGCGGAGAAGAAATGAAAGAAGAAAGAAAAGGAAAAGAAGGAAAGAAAGAAGGAAGAAAGAAAGAAAGAGAGAAAGGAAGGAAAGGAAAGAAAAAATAGTAAAAGGTGAAAGGGTCTTTAGTAGTGGAAAGAAAGAGCAAGGTATTAATGTTAAGGTGAGTTATATTATACCTTGAGTCACCAAAATGTATTTTACATATGTTTTAACTTACCATAGTTTATTTTATACAAGTTATGTTTTATAAATTATTATAAACTATATTAATATTTTAGTTACGTAGTTTAATTTCTGAACCCTATTTGTGAAAATGAAACCCATGGATATATTTGCTTATATTTTAAAGAATATTTGACTATAACCTTATATACAATTATGTTTTGTAAGTACCACCACGGGAGTCCCACGCCTTGGGGGACTTAAATAACCATTGGCCTCTGTTTGACCACTTTGTGGTCCTCTATTTGTCATGGATCCATTGACCTCTGTTCTGTGTGGAGCAAAGTGTTGTGCAGAGATAAGTGCTACACTAGTGTGGGAGCCATCTCTATAGTCCGTACGAGCCACCTCTTGAGTTCGTACCTCTGTTCTGATTGTCACTTCTGTGACCTCTGTTCTGTTCTGTTCTGTACTATGGTTATGGTCATTTACTTACATAATTTCTGTATTTCAGTTTTTGGCACTTAAATGATTTGTTTACCAAATTACCGTGGTTATGGTTATTTATTTACATAATCTCAGTTTTGTTACTTAAAGGATTATTTGTTCCGACTAAGTTATCTTAAATGTTTTGGCTACATAACTATCCATGGTTATTTTGTGTCCCTTATACTCTTGGTATAATATTTCTCACTCTGCCATGTGCTTATAGCTGTTTACCAATTTTCAGGAAACATGCAATTTAGAAATAGCTTTTGGAAAGTCTTAGATGCGAGGCTGCAGAATAGACACACACACAGCACTTTTATTGATATTTTTCTATGTAAATATCGGCCTTTTTGGTCAACATAATTTTGTAATAAAAATAGAAGCTCCAATAATTATTTTGGTACCCTTACTTAAACATTTCTTCTGCTTGCGTTTATTTGTTTGTTTAAGAATTGGCCGTATGTAACTTCAGTTACTGGCCATCACGATGCTTAACCCTTGGGTATGGGGAGCGGATCATGATAGCCTTTGTTTGTGTTTTTAATATAGATGCATTTGTCATATTTGTTTATGTTAAAACCATCTGAAAGCATAGCGTGATCAAATTTTTCATGCCATTGTTTCGGAGCTTGTTTTAATCCATAAAGGGATTTAACAAGTTTATAAACCTTTTTCTCTTGGCCAGGAACTTGAAACCCTTCCAGTTGTTCCATATAGATTTTCTCATCTAACTCGCCATTCAAAAAGGCTGTTTTAACATCTATTTGATGTATCTCCAGATTATACAGAGCTGCAATCGCTATTAGCATGCGAATGGATGCCATTCTTGTCACTGGTGAATAGGTGTCAAAATAATCAAGGCCTTCTTTCTGCTTGTATCCCTTAACAACAAACCTAGCCTTGTATTTATCTGTTAAACCATTTTCTTTCATTTTTCTCTTGAATGTCCACTTATATCCAAGAGGTTTGCACCTTGGTAGAAGATCCACTAGTTTCCAAGTATGATTTTACAGAATTGATTCAATTTCACTATTCACAGCCTCTTTCCACAATGGAGCTTCAGGACTTGACATTGCTTCCTTGAAGCTTTGAGGCTCATTTTCTAATAGGTATGTCAGAAAATTTGGACCAAATGATTTAGAGATCCTAGCCCTCTTGCTACGTCTAGGTTCATCTGATTTATTATCATTATGGTCTTCACTGCTAC